TTTCAGGAATGTTTGGGCTGATCTTGCCAACTCCTACCGGGATCCAATGGGGAAACTGAGGTCCTGTGGGTGGGGGTCCATCTAAACTCCACTTGTGGTGAACTTGGAACCCGCTCTCACCCCCAGGTCTCCAGCCTTGGAGTAAGGATGAATTTCGACCTCAGCAGATACCAGAGCCTGGCAGGATGGCCAGTGATCAGTAGGGTGGCTGAAAGAATGACAGGCTATGAGAGGCTAGGGCGGGTGGAGGCTGGGGTGGAGGCTGGGGTTGGGGTGGGGTGCAGCATTGTCCTATGCGTTTGGGGTGGAGGTCTGGATACTGTTTTGAGTCCGGATGGGGATGGGTGAATGGGGTTGAGGTGAGAACACAGAGAGGGGTGAGGAGATTGGGGTTATGAGGGCTGGAGCCAGCATTGGGGTGTTGGGGATGAGTAGGGATGAGGTGGGTAATGATATTTGAACGGGGACTCTGATGAGCGGTTGCATGATGGTCGTGTTGAACGTGGGTCTCCCGCGTGACTTTTGGAAGATGGTCATTTTGTCTGGGGTTGTGGTCGTGTGAATGGAGCGAGGGCTGTTGGGGTACGGTTCAAGCCAGGGCCAGGACGGAGGAATGGGGTGAGATGTGGCCGGTTGGGCTGGCGAGAGGATGAGGGGCATCGGGTATGCCTGGGGTACCAGAGGTGAGTTGATGCGAATGTTGGCGTGGTCCCGCGCTGGGGGCTGCGGTGTGGTTTGGGGTTAGCCCTGGGCTGGGCTGAGCCTAGGGGGAGGGGGCCGGGCCTTGGAGGGGGTTCAAGGGCAGGGTGGTGAAGGCGGGGCTGGTACCTGAGCCACCACATGTAGCTGTGCTCGTAGGGGAAGAAGCTGTGCGGGTCGTCGCAGCAGTACTTATGGTCGCGGAAGCCGCAGCAGAAGACGGCGGCCGCCTCGCCCCCCGGCCGCGGGCAGCTGAAGCCGCGAACCTCCACCTGCTCGGCGCTCACGTAGCTCGTGCAGGCGCCGCTCATCGCCGCCCGGGGCCCCGACGGCGGGGAGGCGCCAGCGACGGAGCCGCCCGGAGCCCGGCAGGTAGAGAGCGCCGAGCCGAGGGCGAGGAAAGCCCGCGGGGGCCGCGGAGAGCCCGCAGGGCTAGTCCCGGAGCCCCTGCCCCCGGGAAGGGGGGAGGGGAGAGGCTGCCCGAGCGCCCTGCGCCCCGCTCCCCAC